CTTCCAAGTAGCAGTTGTCTTCATTTCAAATCAGGTGTGCAAAGTCCAAACAGTTGCTTAACATTGCCAAGCATGGTTTTATTCTGCTCTGCCCCCGGCGAGGAGCAGCCAAGAGAGCAGCACACGTTCTGCTTGGGCACCTGCCACACCCGCAGGTGTGGAATTTACACACCAAATACACTGAGCATGATGAGATATTCATTAGTGGAAAATAGGCAGGACTCAGAGTTGGATCTTAAATGAGAGAGAATGTTCTGAACTAAGGCCTTGTACCACTGCCCCAGGTAGGAGGGGATTTGGCATGGGAAGTGGAAAGTCAGAAGGAGAAGAGTCATCCTTTTCAACCTGAACTCTTAGGCATGGTTAGCTGTTACATGGAGAGTACTGCTTGCAAATAGAAAGAAATATCAGAAGAATCAACAGAACAAAAGTGAGACCTCGAAAATGCCTATTCCAAGTGCCAAAATCAAACTTAAGAATTGCAGCTTAAGAGCAGTGAAATTCTATAGTATCAGATAAAAGGCCCTGAAAGAAGGGGAAAAGAAACAGATGCAGACAGGTAATAGAGGGCCTGTGAGTGAAAAAGTGGGAATATAATGTAGACTTTCCTACAATGTAGACTTTCCTGCTATTCTGGATTTCAGTAAGTACCTCTGGGACTTCAGGGAGAGATTTTTTTCTCAAGTGCTATTGCAAATATGTCCTGTGGGAAATTGGCCTTTACCAGGCTAGAGCAGTCCAGCCTCTTTAAACAGTCTTTCTGTAAATGTCTAATCCATTAACAAATTAGTTTCTGATTTTTAGGCCATACTGATAGTGGACATACAGCATTCCCAGTAGAATACAGAAATTAGCCATTTCCTCTTGGAAATAAAACCTTGACTACTGTGAAAAACCCGTGGTTATGGCCTTCTCATAACATGTCCTGGTTTTTGTCCGTTTTTTTGGCTCAAGTTCTGGCCTCTGCTGGAACAGCGGCTTTTATATCTCAGTCTATGTTGATCTCTAAGACATCGGGGTAGGTTATCTACCTATAGGTAGCCAATGACCTAACTTTGTTCATACAGTGTAAATGCCCTAGTCAGACCTAGTCAAACAATGTACTTTCTCCTATAAACATTAAAATGTATCTGGAATAACCCACTTTATGCAGAAAGTTGATTCTTGAATCGTGTTTGTTGATGGCTAACACTGCTGTTTTCATCTCCTCCCTCTTGTTGTGGCTTTAAGAATTTAATCCAAAATGCTACTCCCAGAGAGAAAAAGTGACCAAAAAGAATTGAATTTAGCCTAGACAGCCCAGTCTGAAAATATATCATGACTGTGAAAGCATTGATTAAAACTCAACCCACCTGACTCAAGAGAGCTGTACAATATGTGCATTAAGATCAGACATGCTAACTTTCATTACACTAGTGACTTACTTTCCATTGCCTCATAACAGACAGCACTGTTCCAGCACAGTAAATAAGAGTAATCAGAAATAAGCTCACAAGAAGCTTCTCTTTTAATTTTTTCATTACTAGGGATCAGAGGAAAGGCAGAAGGAAGCATTCTGAGGATACCAGGGAAAAGACTGTTGCAATAATAAAATAAATAGCAATTAACTAAAAACTTGAGTCTGCTTGATTGGGAATCACTAAAAAAAAGTAACAGAAGATTGTGGTACCACATCTCAAGCAAAGACAAGTTGTTTTGCTGATTGTCCCTTGCTGGTCAGATATAGGAGTGCTCCTAACAAGCAGGGAATACTCAGTGTGTTTGATGGTGTCTCTGAGCATTCAGAAGTACATCCAGAGGGACAGAAAGAAATATCCTGCAGGGAACTAATCTAGAAAAAGCCAGTTTCAGGACCAAGCAACAGCAGTAAGTTGATGTTTATAATATTTAAGTCATCTGTAAAGGAAATATGATGGTGTGTTGTGTAAAGAGCAGAGTCAGGCCAAGGTTTGCTTCTGTGTGTTTTAGGTAATATGATATGACAGACCACATCAGATCAATGGTGCTGATTAATGAACAGCCCTGGAAAGGTAGCTAACAAGAGATGAAAGGGTCAAGACACAAATTTCAGGAGGGAGAAGGAGGATCTGGACCATAACTCAGACTATAGAGTTATGGTCCAGGAGCCCATTAATCATCAGCATTATTATGTAAAGCACCACATTTTCTCCTGACTTTATGACCATTGCAACTGCACTGAAGTCAGTATAAAAGTGGCCTAAAGTGTACATCTTAAATCACAATCTGTAGTACATCACTACTCTCATAAAATGGACCTTCCTTAATAAAAACACTGATACAAATAATGTACCTCACACCCTCTAAATTAACAGATAAAACTTGTAAAGAGCAAGGTGGAATAAAAGTGAGCATATATAAAATGCCCAAGTTACTATCATTAGTGGGAATATTTAAGTAATAAAGTCTGCATTTCTGGAATGCATTCATGCAGAACATTTATCCTCCAAAATCTTAATTAAGCACAGTACCCCGTGGAACAGAAATACAATGCTTTCCTTTTCTGGATAGAAGAGCCCAGGTACACAGGGGAGAAGTTACTTAACCCAATGTCACACATCCCGTTCCTCTGTTGTCCTGCTTGTCTCTCTTTTTGCCCAATCTTCTTATGGTCAAAGATCATTTTCTTCTAATTTTTCCAAAGTCAAATTAAGTCTTTTACAAAATTTGGAGTATTTCACTCTCTGTTGCAATACCAGTGTCTTAAGAAGTACCATCAGCTTTGTTGATTTTATGTACTTAAAAAGTGCCAAACAACTGCTGAGGATCTCAGTGCTTTATGCTCATCACACTGGAAGAAAGAGAGATATCTTCCAAGACCATAGCAAAAAACATGGAGAAAAAGGAAGATATTTTAAGTATTGCCTTTCACAGAGATTTTTGAGCCCACATTTTGTCGAAGACTTCCAACAGCCCATCTCTTATCAACTTGTCTGCCTGACCCTTGATGGGAAGCCAGATTGAGTGCTAGGCAGTGCTACAAAAGAGAGCCACTTGGATTGGGATCCCAGAGATTGGAAGAGCAATAATGACACAAAAAGAGAGGTGACAAAATATGCAGGATTAGTACATGCAGTTCTTAGGCTTCTCTTGTGTGAAATTAGGAGTGAAGTGAGCAGGAGCTCTGCTGAAGTAGACTAAAGACCCGATCCTGTGATTTTTCTGCTTCTAGTACAAGTTAAAAATGCACATTATCTGAAGTACTAGGCAGTCTCTAAGGCACGTGGGATTTATGCCTTAAAAAGGTGAGCAATAGCCAGATAAAAGACAGACTGATGTGTGCAAAGTGGATGTAAGAAGCAAGGTCAGCGTTAACAGAACAGGTGGGGCATATATGGAGGTGGGAAGGAGAGCTTGAAAGTAAGCCATGCTGAGTGTTAGCAAGGACTTAAATCTACAGAATCCTTGGGCATTACTGCACCTTTGAAATTCAATCCTTGGTTCTGGTCAAAAGTGTCACTATTTTATGTAATTCTTTCAAACTAACCTGATGCATGTGGTTCCCCTCCCAAACCCTGGTGAAACTCAGAGGTTCAGGCTAAGTTGTAGATTTTTTGTGTATGTGTTTGAATTTACTTAATTTGCAATTCAAAGCAGACTCCAAGAGGGAAGAACCTAAAAAAAAACTGGAATCAAAGAAAATGTTTGCTTGAGCCCCTGTAAAATGTAGCTGCCAGATTTCATGTAGCCTGTTGAAATCAGAATTTAGTATATATCCCAGTCGCTAAGAAACATCAGCATTACAAAATGTGTGAATTGAACATAAAACTGAATGTATATTTTGTGAAGTACATTATTACAGTGTCATCTAAAATCCCTCATTGTGTCTGTTGGTGCTCATTGGAGTGTTCCTGCTGCATGAACAGTGGGGGTTTTTTGTGTTGCATTCTCAGACATAAATTCCAACTTGCACAGTGACATTAGCTACCTGTGAAATAACAATTACATCTCTTACCATTTTTCATTCACCTTCTTGATTTCTTTGATAAAACAAGAAAACATTTGCTTTTCTGGTCTGCTCAGAGTAGGCAGGATAATTTTTGCATGGAAGTGGCACCAGTGGCTTTACTGTGGACAGGATTGAATATGCTGCTGTCTCAAGAGTTCTTTGTGAAGTGAAGTAAGCAGGATTTAATTCTGTCCCTGGATGTCAACTTCAGACATACTCCCAACATACCCACAGTGAGCCACCAAAAGATAATAAGAAGCTAGCAAAGGAGGAGTTTTCTTAGTCTAGAGAGGGATTCATGTCCCCCAAAAACGTAAATACTCCCAAAAACTTAGATCTGGATGGTGAAATCACCGTCTATTGGAGCGGTGATTTTTCTGTGGATTCCTTCCTCTCTCAGTCCATTGGTTCCAACTATCTCTTTAGCTCAGAGGATTTCAGAGATAAAACTGCTGCTGAGCTGAACCTTTCCGGCAAGGCTGGCAATAAGTTACTTCCCTGGTGTCACTGCAGTAGACCAGGTGGCTGATGAGAGAAAAGTGGGGTTTCTGCTTTGATATGAGCCATGCTTTTTGTGATGTAAAGACAGCAAAAGACATGAAGGAGAATTCTTTCCTTCCTTTTCCCGTCTTTCAGTCCTGAGGAAGTTTTTGTTGCTGCTCAAAACAGGACTGGCCTTGTTGATGAGATGCACTTGAGTGCCAAGTTTGTGCTCGCTCTCCATCAGTGCTCCACGCTCATGCCACTGGTGTGAGCAACTTCTCAGAAGGAATCCTGCTGATAGCCCTTTCGTCCCTCTCCTCCTTCCTTCACTGGGTTAGGTTGCATGGGCAGACTGGCACAACTGGGGACTGACTCTGTGGTCATTTGCAGCCAGGGCTGGAGGGATTGAAGCGGGAATTCAGCACTACCAGGCTGCAGCCAGCTGTACTCACAACACAGAATGCCAGTTAGAGTTGTAGCAAGTTTTCTTGCTCTCAGTAAATAATTATTATTTCCCCCTGACCTTTCCTTTTGATTCTTCCTGGTACAGACACAGCCTCTCTCTGTTCCCTGCCCCAATGAACGTCTGCACTAGGTCCAAGGCTTGGAGTAATTTACCTGAAGAGTGATACCATTTGGAAACCACTGTAAGTATATTTTATCTCTTATAAAAGACTTCTTGTTCAGCAAAAAAAAAGACATCTTACAAAAACAAAAACAAACTGCAGCACCTGTGAGCCTTACTGATGAGGGTAAACTTAGTTTTGCTTTTGAAATTTGCAAGGAAATATGTGGGCAAAAAGTATGTCAGTAAAAAACTGTTAAATATTTAAGTCATAGCCTCACAGCATAGTTCAGCAATGCCTGGTTTGATCTGCTCGTATTTTTTACTTTGGCAGGTTCTCCCTACTTATTGCTCTAGTTTGTGCTGTTCTAGTTGGTTCATCCATGTTTGTCTTTGCAGTGTTTATCTTCTTTTTTATTCTTATTACTTTTTAATGAGACACCTTTCCTCTCATTGGTGTTTCAGGCAATACAGATGGAATCTACTGCAACTTCTTACAGGTTTACACTGTTCTTTCTCTTCCCTGAGACATTTATGACTTAAGGCCATTACGATTTGGTAGATTTGGCTGAATTACATAGTTAAAGTTGCCTGAGAGAATTCTGACTTTGCATTGTGGTTTTATTATGCTCTGAAATGACCACTTGCCTTATCTTTGTACTTTATCTCCCATAAATACAATAGTTTTGAATTCTTTTGATCAATTCTCAGTAATTGTCAGTATTGTCACAGTGTTAGCATAGCTGAGATGCTCTGATGTTACAAGTCAGCCAAGATCTGTAGTCAGGACCCAACTCTCATGAGACTTATGGTTTAGTCGGAATAAATGGACAAATTTGGGGCCATATAAACCCTACCTCAGGCCTGAAAAGGACCCAGCAAATTTCAATCTTACTTTAACTTAATCTCTGAGTTTAATTTAATTATGTTAATCAGTCTCCTGTAAGGGATTTTCGAGTTTATTTTACTTTTCTGTGTTGATTAAATTTTCCAGGCTTTTATTGCACTAGAACATTGGGTCTCTCTTGTCAGTTCTGCATGCCTCCCATTCTTGCTTTGCAGTGTTCTGCTGGGATTTCTCGTTCATATTACATTTTATGGCGATGTTTTCAGGAGTTTGTGTTTTCCATTGTATGACACAAACTTGCAGTCAGAGATTTTAAACAAACTGCCAGTCATGTAGCTGCAACAGCATGAAGATCAATGTGGCTGCAAAATCATCAGAGAAGCTGTGTGAATATTCAGGCAGTCAGCCTGTGCAGGACTTTTAACTACTGAAGCAACACTTCTGGCAGGAAAACTGTGATGGCTCAGGTGATTTAAATGGAGCTTGTCTTGGGAAACTTCACCCTCAGCTCTGGCACTCAGTGTGCCCTGAATTTTGGGGTGAGGTCTCTGAGCAGATTTTAGTGGGTTTTTGTTGTTCTTTCAGGCCTATTTTTTTTATATTCAGTGATTGTACTCATCTCTCTCTCTTTACTTTGTCAGTTTCTAAATATGTATTGTCAATGTCATGTCTGGAAGAGACACAACACTGGCAGTGATAAGCACTGATATCAGGAGCTGTGTTAGTCGCACACAGGCAGAGGAAGAATGTGCAGCAGAACACTCAGGGAAAATATTGCTTAAAATCAGACGTGAACTATTTTCACACTCTTATTTTTAGGATTTGAAAAGCTGGAGGTTTTGGTTTTTGTTGGGGTTTTTTTGGTTTTTGTTTTGTTTTTTTTTTTCAGTTCTGTACAGCCCCTGTGAATTACTAAGGTTACAAACTAACTGTGCACCAGGGAGTTAAGTGCAGTGCTTGGACACTGCAGGCACCTCTGACCTGAGGGCACTTAGTATAAGGTGATGCCATAGCTGTGAAGAGGTGAAATAATGCCTGGAACATGGGTGGGCAGACTAAGCCAGCAGCAGCACTTACAACAACATCAGCAACCCTGTGGCATGTTCCCTCTGTGCTGCTTAATATGCGACGAACAAAGGTCTGGTTGGTGACCCAGCCCTCCCTGTATTCAGAGGCTGAAAACTGCCTCATTATTGTTCATTATGTAGTATTATTCTCATGCAGTCACATTATCATAGCTTCCCCTGAGAGCCAGGATGCTGCTGTGGGCTCTGCACAGCTACATTGGTTCCTATACCTGAGCTAATTTGTTCAGTGCTAACCTGATGTCTCTGCAGGACAGAGAGAGGGAAGGTTCAAGCATTAGTTATAGCTGCTGTGTGAGAAGTACAACATACACTGTCTATTTTTGACAGGGACCTGGTTTGCTGGCCCCACTGAGAGAATGTGTTAACTCATCCAGGGGAAATTCATTCCAAACTCAAGTAATGGTTGCAAGGGAGGTACATGCAATGAAATCAACTGTGGAGAGCAAGTGGAGGGTTGAGGGAGAGAAAGTTGTATGCAAGAGTGGCAGCAAGAAAGGGGAAGTGTGGCAGGGGTTTTAAAGGCATTCCAAAGCTCAGAGGTAGTAATTAGTTTCTAGATAGCTTTGAGGTTAGGACATCCAAAATATTACCCATTCTGCCTTCAAATGAAACAGAAATGAGCCAATTCTGGTTTACAGCCAGTGCCCAGATCATTGCAGCCGCTGCATCATTTTGAGTTGGCCACCATTTGAGATCTTGTTCTGTGATAGTGCAGTGTTTAGATACATGGACAGGAGCAAATGCCTCAGTGCAATAAGGATGCTTACAGAAAACAGAAATAAAATGATGGCAGTGATTATACATTTGCTTTACATATAAGCTGACAAGTACTGATACACACAGTTCGGTTCAGGAAAGACAGGGGAGGCAGTTAGCCTACTGTTAGGTACTGGAGAGCATACACTGAAGAAAGAAGATAATATATTTTAAGTGGTGTAAATTAACATAACAAAAAAACCCCACAATAAATATAAAGGAATGCTAAAAGTGTACACCAACAAAAGGAAAGTACAGGGACAAAGGATAGAAAATTTAAAGTGATAGAGTAGGTAGAAAATTTAGAAATAAACTGTATAAATCTCTTGTAAATCAGTAGCAAATATAAATTCTGCAGGGACCCTCTAAATTTTGAAAGTCAGTATCTTTTCTGTTCCTAGCTTATGGGATTCTATGCAGCAAGTCCATGTACCAAAGTGCCATCTCTTTTCTGTATTGCCCTTCTGCCCTTCTTCACAAGGAGCAAGGATGATGATGGCCCTCTGATAATGTTAAGAATGAGTTCACTATTGGAAAGGACTTTTAATGCACCACAGGTATGTGTACAGAAGGAGATAACCAGAGATCAGAACGGAGCCCCTTGCTCCAAGAGCACATTCCCAAGTCTTTTGCATTCCAAACATGGCAAATATTGCCCTTACTAACAAGTAAATAGCAAACACCTCTTTTCCAAGATTAGTATATAGAGAACACAGTCATAAGAACTGATGCAGCAAGGTAGACTGACCCTTACTACAGAAATAATCACATAGGATTGCCAATCAATGAAGTCCAGAGATGGGACATTAATAGGAGTAATTTGAGAAGGTTCCATAAACAATATTTATTACTTGTTTCAGTCTTGCTCCTACCCTTGTTCTTTCAGGGTTTTTGACATTGCTATAACAATTCACAGTTTTACAAAGTTAGTGTGTCATTTTTACGTTCTGGACCATAGAGATATATTAGAGAGCTTGCTGATGGAAGTATTCATAGAAGTAGTGTGCAATCAGAAAAAAAAATTAGGTTGGAAGGGTCCTCTGGAGGTCTGTAGTCCAATTCCCTGCTCAGAGCGGAGCTGACTTCCAAGCTGGATTAGGTTATTCAGGGCCTTGTTCAATTAAGTTTGGAAAATCTCCAAGGATGGAGATGCCATAACCTGATTGAGTACTTAACAACTCTCCCAGTGAAGACTTACAGCAAAAAGATAGCAATAGAAGTAGACTATATAAGAGAATGCAAGAATACTTAATTAGAATATATAGGTGACGATCATGGCAATAGGAGCTTTCTGTATGGGTGATAAGGTAGAACAAAAGAATAGCAATATACTTACAGTAACAGCAGGATTGCTGTGGCTTTGCCTTTGCTGGCAGCAGTAGTTGGACATTGCAGACTGGAGAACATTGTTTGGGTTTCTTCATAGGTAGTTTTGATCACAGCGTCCCCACAATTTTTCTTTTCTGAAAACCTTTCTTTAGATCCTTTGCTGACTTTGCTGATTCCTTTGCTTTCCTCCTGTGAAAGGCTGGATCCCTTTCAGGTGGTAGTGACATACAGCCCATGTCTGAACAGTGAGAGAAATGAACTCCTGAGGAGAGGTGTCATCTCCAGTGCCAGTCAGCACCACTGTTATATTCTTACCATCCTGGTGAGCAAAAGTCACCAAGCTGCAGGACTGCAATACGGAAAAATGATGACAGAAGAGCATCTTGATAACACAGTGTCACCCTAGGAGCAAAGTAGAAAATATATGGGTTTGGATAGGAAGAAGCAGGGGATGCTTTGCACAGCCTTCTTGCTGTTGCTATAGTGTTTTTTAACCTGTCCCTCTAATGAGTTTTGAAGGCCTGGGAGGCACAGGCAGGATCAGCCACAGGATGAAACATCCATCATTGCTTGGTTTAACAACAAAACTATGGCTGTGCTAGTCGACTGACAAGTCTTGTTTACTCAGACTAAGCCCCTACTCTGCAAATAACAGCAGTCTCCTGCCCAGGGTAGGCAGCTTTGTGTGTGGACAGCCTGGAGTCAGAGGCTATATTCCAAGCATATAACTTGGCCTAACTCTGAGCTGAAAACAGACCTTAAATACAGCAGTTCAGCTCCTGGGTACAAGGAACTTCATTGCCCTGTGCATCCAGAGTCCAAGCCTACATATAGCCTTTGTTTCCTGGCCAAAAAGGTGTGCTATCTGAAAGGTGCTTGGGTAGCAATGCTGTAAAAACCCACTGGTTTATGCACAGATTTCCTGCATTTCCCAGCACATGCTGGCTGCACATGGGAATGTCCTGGGTTCTGGAAATGAGGTGTGTGAAGGCATGCCAGAGTTCGTTTGGATCATGCCAAAGATCCACGTGGACTCTCACAAACAAAACATGCAGCCCATGTACTTTAAAATATATGTACAAGCCGACGTACAAGCTATAGTTTACAGCAGCAACACCATCCACCCATCCCGTGGCGTGGAGATTGTAGTCCCGGTAATCCAAAACGCACCAGGGCTGCCAGAAACTGCGGGGTTATCAGTGTGACCCCCTCGCTGGCGTGGTTCACCTGCAGAGCTCAGCTCAGCCCAGCTCAGCTCAGCTCAGCTCAGCCCAGCCCAGCTCAGAGGGAGCTCTTTCATTTGAAGCCCGGGCACGGGGCGCTTCTTGCTGCCCCTCGGCCGATCCAAGGCATCCCTTCCACGCCCACCACCTCCTGGGGGAGCTTTGCGGAAGGAAGGGTGGGGAAAGATTTGTTTCCTTTCTTTCTGGCCCGTTTAACTTACATTTTTATTCTAATTTTCTTCCCCGCTCTGCGCCCCGGGCCGGGCCGGGCCGTGCGGGTGCTGCCTCCCGGCGGCTGCCGCAAGCAATGGCGGCGGGTCGGGCCCTGCCCCCGGCCGGGCGTGCCGCCCTTATATAAGGCCTTTATGTAAGCGGCCGGCCCGCTCTGCCCCTCCTCGCCCCCCGCGGGATCGGCGCTTTCCGCGCCGGACGGTCGCATCTGAGAATGGAGGGGACGGTGCAGCCCTCAAATCCCGTCCCGGGTGGGACGCAGGAGGGAAAAGGGGCTCCCGCCCTGGCTCTCCGTGAGGCCTGTGGAAAGGGCTCTGCCGGCAGGCGGGACGTGCTCCCGGTGTGCCTGGGCACTGCTCGGGGGTCGGCAGGCGATAACGGGTTCCAGCGGCACGGCTCCAGCCTGCCCGGCACCTGCTGCTCTCCTGAGTGCCCACGGTTCTCCCTCCAGCATGCGGCGGCAGCAGCCGATGTTTGCCCGCTGTCCCGGCTGCATCCCGGGCCGCGGCAGCACTGTCTTCTCCGGAGGCTGCATCCCGAGCTGGCGGCGCGGCTCTCCGGCTCGGAGAGCACCGAGGGAGCACCCGCGCCTCTGTAGCGGAGGGGGAACAGTGAGACGCGTGCTCGCTGCCCTGCTCGACGTGCTCGCTGTGTGATTCAAAACCTGCCGCTTCGCCTGTTGCCTCGCCTTCTCCAGCCGTGAAGCTAAGGTGGTGACTGACTACCTGCTTGATGTACCACTGAGGCTTAATTCTTTGGAGGCTCTGGATGGAGGGAGGTGTTGAGAGCTCTTGTGCTCAGTGCTCGTAGACAGTTGTTTCAGGTTCCAAGTCTTAATGCTTCACTTAGATGACCTCTGCTCCTCAAAATTGCCTCCCCACAATGCAAGTTTCTGCACTGATTAGTTTTGAACTTGAAATATGCGTATTTGTTTGCTTTTCATACAAGTATATTATATTTGTGTATAACTCTCTCTATTCAGAATGCTGCAGCCTTGGTTAATATTTGTCAAGCGGCGCGCTGACTGTCTAAACTACTGGGACGAGTTTCATTTTATATGTCATCAGTAGGGGCAGAATAAGGAGCTTCGTGCTTGGCCTATTTGCTGTAACACAGTCTCAGGGCCATTGCATCAGAGGCAAAACAAGGAGCAGCTTGTTTCCAAACAAGAAGTATGGAGGAAAGTCTTCTCTGTGTCCTTCCCTGTAAGGGAAAAGAGAGGCGAGAGGGGGGTGGTGGTGGGGGAAGAAAGTTATCTTTAACAGATTCTAAAAATGCCTTTTCCCAAATATGCAGTCAGTCCCTTCAAAGGTCTCTTTGTTTATTTTCAGGAAGAAACCCAAGACAGCTGAAAACCAGAAGGCGTCTGAGGAGAATGAGATTACTCAGACGGGTGCATGCAGCGCCAAGCCGGGCCTTCCCTGCCTGAACCTTGAAGCTGTTCCTTCTCTGAGCCCGGCCCTCATCCACTCTCCACATTCACCAACAAACCTGCACGCACACACAGGGTCATCTGATTGTGAGTACACCAACATGCTGCTGGGGTTCTTAAAAACACCTCCCTTACTGTGCACCGGGTTTTCCAGTTGGATGCTCTTCCCATAATGTCATAAAAAGGACCTCCTCAGGGCTTATCTTCTCCCTTCTTTGGGAATTACATCTAAAGCACAACATTTTTGTGGTAAGGTTGTGATAATGCCATCAGCCAGAAAAAGCTGAGAGTGTGTTGTTAGGTCAGGCTGCTGCTTATTGCAAATTAAAAAAGGGAAGACCCCTCAAGCATGTCCCTGTCCGACTAGAACTGTTGCTCCTCTCCAGGTAGTCACAAGCTTCTCATTACCCAACCATATCTCCTGACTGAGGGGTTTCAGTCTGTGCTGAAAACATGTGCCTGGCTCTGCAGTCCAGGACTGTAAAGTTTCCACAAAGAAAGGGGAGTATTTTGTGGAAAGGATCAGTCTGTGAGAGTCTGGAAAATCTTTGTAGACCTATGTGGTTCTACCAGCTTTAAGGCCCTTGTTTTGAGGGCGTTCGCTTTCAGATTACTCAGCAACTGCCCTTTAGAAAATGTTCTTCTACATTTTGCCAAAAAATGCAAAAATAAGGGAGGGGATTATTAAAACTGGATTTTGGAAAGTCACCTGACCTTGCCAGCTCTTCAGAACATTGTCATTTCACAGAGGTCCTTGCCTGGAAGTCTCTTGGGCAAGAATGTGTAGGGTAATGTGAATTTCATCACTCACTAGTTTTAGAATGTACAGTTTACCTCGTCTGCAGTGATTTAGAATGTAAATTTACAACAGGGAGGGAAAAAGGAGAAGATGATGACACCAGGTTTCAACATCTTGGAAGCCAACCAGGCTTTGCAAAAGCCAGTAAAAAAATTCAGGCCATGACAATAAAAAATCAGATTAAAAAGTATGTGTATCCTTTCCTTTCTTTAATTTAAAAATCCTGCCTCAGGGCCAAGCTTGGAAGCAGTCGGGTTATAGGGATCATCGCTATCAAAATCACTTTAGCTGCAATTCATTCCTGTTGGCTTCTGACTTTATTCATTATGAGCTTCTGCTAGAGATCTTGATTTTAATAGAGCTGGTAAACATTGGGGAGACTTTCCTAAATCTCACCTGGTGATCTGGGAAGAAGAAAGAGCTGTGAAACAACTGAACAGCAGGCAGCATGCAATTTAGTATATTCAAGAATTCTTTTCAAATTAGAGATGTCATGCTCTTTGTTAAAACTGGGGTGCAGTTTTGTCTTGTAATATTTTCTAAAAACAAAAAGCTTATGAAAAGATGCAAAAAATGAGCAGAACAACAAGAAAAAAAAATAATCCTTATTTTCAAACAAAGAATCCCTTTATCCCATTCACAAAGATGAAAGAGTTCATTAGTAAATGGGATTTGAAACCTCACACTGATTTTTTTGACAGTACAAATGGAAACCCATGAAAGCAATCTTAGGACAGAGGCCAGCAGGGATTGTAGGGAACTTGGAGAATGAGCTCCTGCTTTTGCTTTCTGAGGTGGCCAAGTTCAGGGTGAGGAATATTGGCAGAGGGCAGCAGGGGAAGGTGGAGCCTGCAGCTCTTCATGCTCTACCTGTTCTGTGCACAGTGTCTTTTAGACCCCTAAGTTTTTTGTGTCCCCAAGTCACCTTCCAGATGATGGCCTTTTCCAACCTAAACAATTGCATTATTCTGTAAATAGAAGTAAACTGCCAGCCTAGGTTAGATGCTCCTTTCACACTGTAAGTGTGGGGGTTTTTTTTCAGAAAATGGGTTTAATAGCAATTTCAGCATTAACATTGTCCTGTCTTTTGAATTGTTGATATTTAGTTCCCAAAATATATCTGGAGTCCTGCAAAAATTCAGGAAATAGTAAGACCTCTTGTGGTATTGATCTCTGTTAGTTGATTCAGTGTACTTTGAAAGCAATAGAAAATCTCACAATTATGTATGAAGGGTTATGACCTTTATCAGGCTGTATTTGTTAGGGGTGGTATGCATATAATTAGTGTTTGGCATGCCCTTGCAAAACAGAAAGAACCCACATGAACTGAAATGAGGCACGATGAATATTTACTGTATATTTACTGTAGCTTTCTACCATGTTTTTTGATATTCTTTTTTAATATTGCCTCAATCCTTAGTGCTGGAATGTTCATGGACACAAAAGATTGATTTTTGTGGCTCCCAACATTAAGAATGGGTTTCCCTGCAGTTACAAATGCTTTCTCCATACCTCTGATGTGCCCTGTCTTTTGCATTGACTCTTTCCCCTCACTCTAGAATCTCTTTCGTTGTCCTTCTCTTCCTCTCCCTCAGAGCTACATTGTCCCGTCTTTCTTCCTCTCAACTTTTGGACCCATGGTGATGCTCTTCCTCTTTGGGCCAGCAAGATTTTCTGTCCTTCCCTCTGCCTTTAGACAACACAACATTGCTTTTTCTTCCCTTGCCCAGACCATCCTACTGCCTGTACCACCACAGCTGGGCAGACACTTCATTTTCAAAGGGCATTCTTCGTTCTGCTGGAGGGTTTTCTAGTGGATGGCAAATAATACAAAAACACTTTAGTTCTAAAGTTAGACTGAACGTTTGGGAGGAATTTTCTCTGAAAATACCAGAAGCACCCAGAAAGACTCAGCATGGTAGGGTATATCAGTTCTTGGGAAAATGTACAGATGTACAGATGGTTTCATAAGGCTTCATTTATGTATCTGGGAAAAACAAAAAGGCTTGGATTTTATGGACCACCTATTCAAATCAGTTTGAAATCTTCACTGACCATTTTGCATGCACAGTCACTAGTGCTTGGCAGAAAACAACACCACATATTTATTATCATGAGAAATGTTCAGAAGCCAATTTACTTTAAAATATCAGGGTGCTTTTGGAATGATTCAGATCAATTTTTTTTTCCAAGCAAAAGAAATAAAAACTCTGTGATAGCCATCTGCTCCTCAGCTGTAAAAGGCAGAGGTGAAGAAAGCCTAAAGCAATGTCTGAATGCCAGTCTTACTGATATGAATACTTAGCAAAAAAAAAAAAAAAAAAAAAAAAAAAAAAAAAAAAGACCTGGGTAAAGTCATGTGTGATGCACAACACAATTTAGAGTTTCATTCTGTAGCATTGTGTATTCTACATGCTGCTTCTGGTGACACTTATTCCTAATGAAATTGCATTATTCCTCAAATTTGTAGGACTAGGTCCTAGATTTCTGGGTTTGAACACTGTTTCCAGCACAGATGAATCCTTGAAGCTAAATCCAGAACACAGGATGCACTGTGTCCAGTCCCATCTCTTTTAGTCTTGGGAAATGCAATACAGTTGGAGAAACAAGTCAGAGGAAGAAGTGCTTCCTGAGGTAACTGTTTTCATGGAGGGCTTAGCAGATGAAAAACACCACTTTGAATTAATTTGGAATTAAGTGATAGAGTCAGCTGATAGAACTCCAGCTGAGTTATACATCTAGCTACTCAGCTGTCACAAACAGATCTATCTGCTTACCCAGAAGAAAGGTGCTCATGCAAGGACAAGCACAAATTGTGGAAAGGTTATATAAAAGCAAATGAAAGCAATGAGATTTGTTCTATTCACATTTTTTTCACATATTTCCTTGCTTATGGATAGAGAATGCATAAAGTGCATAATAAGGTTGTAGTTCAAAGGCTGAACAGCCTTAGGTAAAGTTTCTAAAGATTTTGGTGAGAGGAAGAAGGTCATCAGGACCTAGCTGTATTTAAACTGGTTTGGTCTGCATAGGCAATTTATTTCAGAAGTCTGTCAGCATCTATAACTGTATAAGTTTTGCAAGCATGCCAAGAGATAAGATCATTTTGGCAGAAACTTTCACGAATTCTCAAAGATACAATCAGACAAAAACTTCATTCAGGCTCTGATGTATGCATCTTAACAGATGTGTCCAAACTCAAAGGAATCCCAGGGGAATGGTGCAACGGAATCTCTTTGTCTCTATTGATAGTTAAAAGAGTTATTCTTAGACATTGGATGGTCCGTCTGTGAAGGAACTTGTTCCAGACAAGACTAAAGCAACATCTTTGCAAAGGGTTTCCATGGGACTGAGAGGCAGGTTGGACAATCATTGGAAAAACTTCTGAAGCAGTATTTATGATTTTAGCAAATACTGAATTCTTGCAGAGACCTGAGATTCTGGTAAGGAATGAGTTGAGAAGAAAAGTAAGGCGTGAATATTTTTTTTAAATCTGTTAAACAATCATTGGCAGGTTTTCGAAACAAGGGAGGACTTTCTAAAGTTACATTTTAGCAAGGGATGGGGGTGGTTTTTTGCATTAAATAGAATGCACTTTATAAACAGGGTCAGTGATAGACAACATCTGAACTCTTTGCCCCTACAAGCTCAAGTACCATGGCTGGCTTGGTCCGATTCCAGCATTTTTCTGCTTTCACAGGACAGGAACTTTGAAGCAGAGTATTTGCTTTTTTTCCTTCTAAGTACTGATTTTTTTTAGCTTCTTAGCCTTCCAGCATGACAGGGAACGACAGAGTGGGAACCTCACAAGATTCCTGAACTCTTCAGAGCATTGAGAGTGAATATGGAAACTCTGGGTTTTCATTTTCTTGAGCAGCTAGAGGGACGCACCATTCCCTTCCCATGAATCTGCCAGTTTGATTTGCCTGGGGCTAGTATAGAGGCTGGGTAGATCTAAAGGTGGTTTGGCCTCATCTTTACTTTTTAGGTTTCCTGTGTTTCTCTTTGAGGTTCTGTGGCAGGAAGAAAATGGTTACATGCCCTGATGGTCTTCCCTCTCTCCCTGGAAATTTGTAGCTGTGATTCCCTAGGAACTGCTCTGGAGCTTTCAAGTAGTCTTCACTCTCAGTGAAGACAGGAGGCCCCTGATTCTACCAGCTTCCTTGTTTAGAGAGTCAGGCAGTATGTCAATAGTCATTTCAGCTGTATTTTTGCTAATCTATGTATGGCATGTCTTAGCTAATGCTGAATATTTTTGGTTGTTTTTGATGACCTAAGAAATTATGTA